TTATATTGGGCTGACGTACCAGACTACTTTTATCTAATAAAATTAGACGTATTTTCATCCTCACTATATAAGTTTTCTATTCTTTTCACTTCTGCTTTGGACAGGATACTGGTTTGGTTCTAGTTTTGTTTTGGTTTGGCATGTTTGTTTTTTCTACTAAGTATTTCAAATTCACATCTAATATTTTTGGATCAGAAGCCCAATGACAACAACTTTGGCATTTTTTATTCCATAAATAAGGCTTCAGAAAAATCAACATATTACAGTGTCTCTTCTAGTGCCCTGTACTATTTAAATCTCCTGAGAGAGCTTGAGTAACACGAACACATTTTCCAGTGACGCCAGCTGCAACTGGGAGAGCCTGCCCTTGGGAGCTGTGATCCTTGCAATTGTCCACAGCTGTCAACACACAGCATGATGTCACCGAACAGGGCCCCTGAAGTGTTGGGGTTTCAGTTATGTGGTATTAGGTGATGACAGGCATTCTGATGTTGATTAGCATCTTGCAGTTCCTTCTCACATTTGGACACAACTAAATTTGTTTTGGTCTTTTAATGGCTTACTTTTAAGAATTATTTTCGTAGTTGTAAATGCTAGTTAAGGAGCAGCCTATCTGAACACCACGTAGGCTTTGATCCTGAACCTGTCCATTTTGGTGCTGCAGCCTATAAATTCTAAGAGCTGGATCCAATTTTCCAACACTTATTTGAAAAGGTCGCATTGGGCAAAATTCTGGATGTGGAAAAGCAGCTTGCTTTAATGACAGAATATAAGAACAACGCTCAGTTTCTGAGCATGTCACATGCCCCTGAAGATACACACCATTATGCTACTCAAGATAAAACTTCTGATATTAATATATTGAGAATTTTTTGCATCTTACAATGCCGCAGCACTCTGTTTGACATGAATGATGTCTCTGTATTAAATGGAAGATGCTAATAGAATATAAATTGAAGAGAAAGCTTTAAAGACCCTTTTAAAACACTGAAAAAGCAGATTTAAAAACCTGTAATTTTAAAAAAATGAAGACCTAATTTCCTTTTAAAAATAATGGAGACATTTCATTTAGCATAGAGAAGGGGTCTAATTGGTGGTATTTTCTCATGTAAGTTCAGACTTTAGAGCCTTTTTTAAAGGGATGCATCACATATTTCTTTCAGCTCTTGTTTGCAACTGTTTTTTCATGTTTGTTTTCCACTATTGACTTTCTGTTTCTGATAATTTTCAGATGTTTAAAGGATTTGAAAAGCTCAAGGATGTCCAGTATGTCTATACCCCTTTCGATTCGTCACTCTGTGGAGTGAAACTAGAAGCTAACAACAAAAAACAGTATCTTTTGACAGGTAATATATAACAATAAAACCAGAAGTAACTGGTTAGATTGACTTTGCAAAAATATGCCAGCCCTTGTTAAAAAATAATATATTTATGTACTAAGTAATACAAACACAATGAAACGTACAAAATGTGTAAAGCTGTAATTATACTGTGATCTTACATGTTTTCCATCCTTCCTCCAAAGATCTTAAAGCAGTTTCAAAGGAAGTCGGAGTCAGTAACTATGCAATTAGTAAATATGAAGTATGCCATTATTATTTAAAACCAACAGTACTGATTTTCCCAGGAATGCAAAGATGTTTAATGAGACAACACATGCCTACTTGTATGCAGATTTGGGGTTCTAAGTAATTAGATATTTTTCTACAGTCCTGAAATCTAGTTTAACATATTACTGCATCTGCATCCATCCCCTGTTGACAGACTATCAGCATCTTTTGAAAAAATATCCTTCTTAAATCTTTAACATTTATTCACCTTGCAATCAGCGGAATAGTTCTATCAGTTATAATTACATTCATTGAAAAAAGTGTGAAGTATGAGTAATTTGGCACAATTAGTTCAAAATGTCAGATATCCATGCAGTTTATTTCGACATTTAGAAAACAGTCTTGACTATTTGCTTGCCTTATTTTTCTGATTTTCCACACTGTAGGCCAAATTTTAAGTGATGGTAAAGTCCTCATCCATTTATGCAACTACATTGAACCATGGGATGACTTATCCTTGTCTCAAAAGAAGAGTCTTAATCAGAGGTATCAAATGGGCTGTGGCTGCAAGGTAAGTATAGAATGAAACACTGTCTTAACAGTGGAGCCCACCTTGCAGGCACTAGCAGTTGTCACTGGCAGGAACTGTTCTTTTGTACACCTTATATTTTATATTATTTGAGAATAAATACCCTTTTAAAGAAACCTGCGATATACTGAACCACTGTCCTATTTCACATTTAGATTACTACCTGTTACATGGTGCCCTGTTCAATCACTTCACCAAATGAGTGCCTCTGGACAGACTGGCTGATAGAAAGAAAGCTATATGGGCACCAAGCCAAGCATTATGCCTGTATCAAGAGAAGTGATGGCACTTGCAGCTGGTACCGTGGTGGTCCTCCCCCAGAGAAAGAGTTTATCGATATCAGCGAACCTTAAAATGATCACTTCCTAAAAAAAGCCTTGGAGTCTAATTCCATCAAACATTGCACGCTCACAGCTTTGAACTGCCATCGTCTAATGTATCTGTTGCTTAGAAACAAAAACAAATTGTCCTGTACAGCTAAAGTCTGAGTCCGTGGAATTGGCACAAGGGCAAGATGAGGAACAAATCACCTGGAGGTAGCTGCTCTGTAAAGTTACGCTTTGTACAGAGAGGCTCAAGCTGAGAATGCTCCTCTGTGTCCCCTAAGGCGTAACGTTTCCCTTTTACCAATATGAATGTACAAGAACAACAGAATTGCCAGAATTTTCTCCCCTGTTTCTGTTAACCTACAGATTAAAACAGGCCCATGTTTTATTCCAAATCTTTCTGATGAACTACGCAATGTTTTATAGAACTATTTTTTTTTCTGTATGAAAGTCTTCTGATACAAAAGAATTATTGTACAGTGTATATGTAAAGTATTATAACAATGTGCTATAAAAAAAAACATTCAGAAATCCCTGGTTTTCCTTTTCTGTTCAAACAAGTTGAACACTTCTGTGATTAAAACAATCTGTGCTCCATATTCTGTATGTTACTTATGCCATATAGCTTGCTTTATCTACAGAGTTGTAACTTTCACTGATAATCAAAATCCTCTTACCCCATTCAGTATTCCTATGGACTAGCTATACCTTGTGGAAGGAAAAGCCACATGTTCTAATGCTTCAGCGTTTTATGGAACCAACACAAATAATGACAGGCTAAAACTGCTTATATTTACAGAAACCATGTCCATCATCACGGCAGCTGTAGGACTTGATAATGCCTCTCTAAATATGTGACCAGGTCAATGTATTTCAGCACTGTTAAAAGCCTTGGCTTTAGAAACTCATGTAAAAATACACACAATAGATATTCAATAACTTGCACTGCAAGTGATTTCTAAAAAGCTCTCAAATATTTGATCATATTTAATAGTTTTAAATTTACATTAGTGATTTTTCATTGATGAATACCCATCATACTCTGTCGTAACAAATTTGGTGACTCATGAACTTATACTAGAGAAATGTGGCAACATATTTTACCTTTTAGTTTTTTAGTGTCTTAACTTTTATGAATTGATTGCTGTAGGTAGTAACTAATCTCACACGTATTTAAGTTTACTAAAGTAATTCAATTCACAGTGGTAAAATTTAAGGAATTGTTTCAGTAAATGCCAAAGTTTAGACAGTTGTCAAACTGCTTGCATTCTAGAAACCGGATGAGAACTATCACGCAGGATATGAATCCGTAATAGCTGCCATTTCTGACATATTTTACTCTCTCCAATTTTCTCCATTGGGTTTCTTTCACTTCATTCCAATTTCTGTTAGAAATTACTCTCATGTATTCCTCATATGAGAATTTAGAAGAAAAGGCAGGGATTTAGACAGTTCTGCTCTTGTTTGGTTAGATCAGGTCTATTTAAAGGTTTAACACACACTTTATTCGTTCCTGCTAATCATAGAGTGACATTTCCAGCCTATGGGCTCATTAAGAATCAGAGCTGTTACTGTCTATTGGTTCAAGGGTCCAGCTTTCCACATCATTCCTGTAGTCTGTTTGCTCTAGAGTCCTTATAAGATCATTGGGACTTACACTTGCAAAGAAGATACGCACATCTTTATGTGTATAGGCATCTCTTAATTCCATTCAGTTCAATGAAGGAGTAGTTTGCACATAAAATTCAGTGCGTCCCATGTATCTCGTCACACCCTAAGACATGTTGTATCAGATATAAAGCGTATACTTGCAAAAAATCCTGTATAAATTATTTTTGTGATATATTCTGTTCATGTTTCTAATGCTTATTTTGACAAATGCATGAATCCATATTTAAAGGATAGACAATGGCAGCTTTGAAAACACTCTTGTAAGAATAAATATTCTTATTTACTTTTTCTGTGACTGAACTTACACAATTCCAGTGAAGTGCAAATGGGCCAAGGCCAACAGGAAGGTGCACCATTATCCCTTAATAATCAACATTTCACTTTTTATTTACTGTAAATCAGGTTTGCTGTTTTAATTTACAATCCTAAATTAAAAAACCATATATTTGTGCTGCCAGATGTAAAGCTTATCTCATCTTCTGCTTTGCTGAAGACAAACAAAAAATTACCTAATTCTAATTTGGACCATAAACTTATTATTGCTACTCACACAAATGAAATAAAAAGGCTATATATTTCTTCAAAAAAGGAACTGATATTGCAGAGACAATACTGACAGTGCTATTTACTACCAGTGCTGTGCATTTATATTACTAATTTACAGAAAGAATTAAAAAACAGGCCTTATTTCCTCATGTCAAACCAAACTGACTCCTAGACAAGCCTGCGAGAGCTTAACAACCATACAAAGTCTGAATCAAGCACATGGCTGATTAATATTCAATACATGTACAGTGTAGCATTTGTTTCCAAATCCATTTTGATGTAATGGTATCTTTTGAATAGCACTCTGCAGCAAACAACAGAAATTTTCTGCTTTTTAACTCAACATAGTTCTGTTTCTGTTTTAATTTTATAATAATTAGACCTTAAACTCAACTAGCCTAACTCAGATTGCCTTCTTTATGTACCTTGTAAAAATAAATGTTTTATTTGATATTTATGAACAAACTGTAATATGAGTTGTATGGCATAATTAGTTTTAAAAACATTTTATATTAGACCTAACATAAAATATCCCATATGAGGTGTTTCAAAGTCAATGGCCATCCACTTTGATTTCTGTCTGAGCATAAAACTGGCCAAACTGGATGGCACAAAGATTTTTTTTCTTCCTCATATCAATAAATATGGCAAGAAAAGCTTTACAAAAAACCCTCTCAGAATGAGTTTTTATTTTCCTTGAGATTCAGCACTCATAAAGATTATGAAAAGGATTAACTAAATGTGGGATTCCTAATACATTATTTTCCTATCAAGATTTTTTTACTGTAGTGGAACTGGTATATTATGAACAGCAGATTATTTTTACAATACCTTATTTTTACTTCTTGAAACTGTGTATGTGTTATATGAAAGGCTAGAGCAAAAATATAGTCTGGTACAACATTTGATTTTAATCTGAAAATGACTCACATGACTTACGATAAAAGTAGGGAAAAGAACAGAGAAAGGAGACTATAGGTGAACGGTGGAAAAAAAAACCCACCTTGAATATTGCTGGCTTTTTCTCAACGTTCCAGTTAAGTTTTAATTAAATTGTCCAACAATTATGTTGAAAAAGCCGGGGTTTTTTTCATGACAGAGAACATAGGAGGTGGGAATGTAGTGACATAAAGGGAACTAATTACTGAGGGAAAGGCTGTAGAGATGACTCAACTAACAGTGAGTTCAAAAAGCCTTACAGCATTTTGTATAGTTTTAATCACTCTGAGATGAATGTCTCTGTTTCAAAAAGTGTTTCATTAAAGCAGCTCCATTTTTACACAAAAGAATGGCATCTTTGTTTATTTACCTTTTCTTGCCTTAGTACAAACGTACACCAAATGTACAAATGATCACCACAGTATGAAAGAACCAAAAGAACCAGAAGCACAACTGCACCTCTGGCATGCTCAGCTGAAAACTCAACTCACAGAGTTTTGGAGTTTTTCCCTGCTCCCTCTCAACCCCAACTGGTTTGCACTGGAGGGGAGGGAGAGAGCTCTAGGTTACGATTTGGAGAATAAGAAGGGAAGGAACAAAGACAAAAAGAACTACCAAAAATTACTTTAAATGGTAAATACCAAATTTGGTAAAAGTAAATGCAAATGAGGCCAGGTATTAATAAACAGTGTTTAAAACCAAAAAAATTTAAATAGCATGACATGATTTCAATTCATCAACTAGAAACTCTACTATTCAGATCATTTTACAACCCATTCTAGAAATTTGAATAAAATGTTCTCTTGTACCATGTTACCTGATTATTCTTCATGCCATAAAGTTCCAAATAATTTCTTCAGAAGGAAAAAACAAACAAACGAGCTTCACCACAATCAATTATTACAGCACCTCTAAACTATGTATGGTAATGCAGTCTGAAAATGCATTAATTTTCTCTAGATTAACATTCATTTTGTATAAATATGTAAAAAATTACTCAGCTGTGGAGAACATTAACATTCCAAAGTTCAAACAAAAGACAAATAACTTACCAGTTCAGACATTAATGAGCAATGTAGAGGAATGAAGGGGGGAAAAAAAACCCACTCAAATATTTGTTATACTCTTAAGCAAAGTATACCTGGTAAACACATACACATGTTTTCTTGTTTGTGTTCTATTACTGAATTTGAATTCAATTCAAGCCAGCAGTTTGCAGCTGAACTGGTAGACCTTCTATAGGGTCATACTATGTAAAAATTGAAAGCTAACACATTAATTCTTGACCCCTTTTCTTTGTTTCTCTGTACTGCAATTTAGCATTGCATTAGAAAGACTTTTTCAATAAAATCATAGAGTCATAGAATATCTCTAGTTGGAGGGGACCCATAAGGATCATTGAGTCCAACTCCCTGCTCCTCACAGGACTACCTAAAACTAAACCGTATGACTAAGAGTGTTGTCCAGACGCTCCTTGAGCTCCAACAGGCTTGGTGCCGTAACCACTTCCCTGGGGAGCCTGAATAATAACTGACAAAATAATGAAGAACAATAAATTGTGCACAGGAAATTATAAACCGGCTTTGGCCATTCTCAGGAAAATAGATATATATAAAACTTATTACCATTTAAAAAAGCGTATTGCAAACCGTGAGATGTGGTTCTGCTTCTCCACCTGTTACAAATTAATCCCCAAGGCATAAAACACTTCCTTTGCATAAAAAAAAAAAAAAAAGTGTATATTTCCCTGACAAATCCATCAACAAAACCCCCTTCCATTCTGAAGAGATTTGACTGTCTGGAACAACATTTAGATCTGCTGCTCCAGGTCAGCACCATTCTCCTTTGGCTCTATAAAACTTCTGTGTAGCAAATTTACTAAATAGAGAACTGTGGCGAAAGCTCTTTTCAGAAGTGTCATATGCAACAAAAGAAGTGGAAACATCTGCAAGTTAATAGTCCAAAGAAACCAGACAGAACTGGGAAAGCAGTATGAAAAGCCATCCTGCCACTCTTGCAACACATCAAAAAACACAGCAGAACTGCATCCTACTGCATTTATTAACAAAAGATGAGACAGACGCAGAAAAAAGAAGACTTCAGAAGAAATCTTGGTCAACTGCTGTCACTGAGGCTTATCTTAGATGCCACCTATGACAACGGAGTGTTAGCCAGAGTCTCAAGACAGACACACAGCAATTACAGCTTGGGGACCTTACATAAACAGCTAACGAGCATATTTATCATGACCTTGCAATGGTACTTGAATCACAGCTGTGTGACATATGCTGAATGGATTATATTCTAAAAATAATTGATGCTTCTCTGCTAGTCTATTCAATCAGCAAATAGCCTCCCTCCAGCTTCTCTCAGTGCTGAAAGTATTTCCTTTAGAAAAACATACTCAAGGAAAGAATTTCTGGTTAGAAACCGTAAGAAAAGTAAGAAAAAATGCCTGTAGCATAGGACAGGTCATGAGTAAAGGTCATTAAGTGTTATTTTTATGAAAGCATTTGTGGCTGTAAAGGACTGGGAATCAATGTCAGTTCAGGTACACAAAGATCACAAGTCATAAACACCCTGACTTTAGAGGAGTTCAAAGTTCTACACTGACAGGCACATAGCCTTGAGCATCATCTACAAAGGTAATGAACACTTTGAACATATCATAAAGGACCAGGTTGAAAACAAACCTTAGAAGTACGTCTTGCACTTTAGTAGTTTTTCAGTGTCTTTATGAGCATTTAATCTCTTTAAGATCCAAAGTTGGTTAGCTGAAAAATAACTACCTTCACATCTGAAAATCTTCCAGTTAACCATCACAATGCTTTCAAGTGGTCACCCAGTCCCATCCCTCTGAAAACTTCCAAAATGGCTTTTAAAATAGACAGTAAATGGGGGAAATGTATTGTGTGTTTACAGTTCCTGTTTTACAGAGACAGTAAGTAAATTCAATGTCGGTATTTGCACCTACCATTTCCTTGTGATTTGGATAGAATGTTTGCTCAATTAAAGGGAACTTCTCTGGACCCAAAGTTTTGTAGACAGACACCAGGTGGGAAAACTGTAAAATAAAAGCAAAACAAAACACTTAGGAGAGAAACCACATTCTACCATGCTGATCTCATACTGTCATTTTGCTTCTTGTCTGTTGCCTTTCATAAACTCAGGAAATACACATACACATTGTACACTTTCTCTCTCCTCTCTCACGTGCACACCTTAATCCATCCAAGCTATGACTTTATATACAGATCAACAAAGAACAATACCTCTAAGAGTTAAGCTTTCATACAGGCAGAAAATGAAATACATTGGAATACTGGTTTTCAGATACCCTCATAGTCTATAGATTTTTAGCTGATTTTCTGATACTAAAATCATTACAATTCTGCATTTTCTACCACCTTTAATCAAAGATCAGACATATTTCACATTAATTCAGCCCCTGGCACCTCACTGGCATTGAAATCCAATTTTGCAAAACTCGCAAACAGAGAAAAGCAATAACTATGTCATCCTTTCCTAGGCTCTAGCCACGTACCATAGCCACATGGCTATTCCTCCACAATCAAAAATGATGTTGGTAATTTAAACAGCTACATGTTATTGACATTTCTATTAATGTTTTCTTTCTGGGCTCTTTCTCCGATATACCCAGTCTACCTATACCCTGGACCGTAGTGACTTAACACAGAAAGCAAAACAACATTTAACACAAAAAGACAAAGAATTCTTTATTAAATAGAAATTTATTTCGGGGCTGTTCTGTTCACTCTTTAGTGAACAGATCAGCTCTTCTGCTGTAACAGTTAAAAAACTAAATCACGGCTTAGCAAGTGAGGTTTCTAGGGAGCAAGACGACTTTGGCAGTCAGAAGACCACTATTGTTTCAAGACTCCAAAGCTCTGGCTTGTACATGCCTGTGATGTGTTTAATTGTCATTATGCCAACATGAGACATAAACAACTTAGCACAACAGTCTGAATAGTGGGATTTGCTGGTTACAAACAGGGGAAAAAAAGCAAAGAACAACAGAACTCTGTGCATAACGCAGTTAGATAAAGCACCTACTCTGCTAATGCAGTTTAGAGTGCAGGGATAGTAAAAACTGTTTAAAGGGGAAAAAAATGATGAAAGCTTTGCATCACATTTCCAGCTTCATAATCTGTTTAATTTAGTGGTATTTACTTAGGTTTGGTAAAACACAGATTTAAATTTTGAAGTCCAGTGGAAAATACCTTCATGATGAGTAGTTTTCACCAAAAGCTTAAGAAATTTTAGTTGGATAGTGTGCTGCACAAGACAGACCTCAAGGAAAAGAAATATCACAGCTACCAAAATAAGGTCATTTGTGAATAGGATTCCTGACAACTTACTATTTATTTCTGTTCTTATCCAAGATCCAAAATCAAAATTTCATAAGCAATTATTGCATATTAAATACATTATTTTTGCCAAACAATTGTTATGTTAAAATAAATACATTCACCTATCTTTAAGTAAAAACCTTTAAAAAAATCATATGATTGTATTTCCTGTGATTCTTTCCTTACTTTCTTCTCCATTTTCACTGAAAGCAAGCAAAAGACAGTGAGAAACTGACACTCTTTGTAGGGGTTGTGGCATTTGCTCAAGTGGTAAGAAAGCTAGAATTCAGATTAGTACTGGCAAATGTTTGTTTACTTAAAATAAAATAGTACCAACCATGGGTAATACACGTGCATCACTCCACAGTACCCTCTAATCTAGTAATTAAGCTATGAAATAGCAAGTAGGAAAAGTAGGTTTAAATTTCCTGAGGCAGCAGAGAGAAACAACTCTGATTTCCCACAACCGGGGGGAAAGATTTACCCTTTGTCCCTACTGGGACACTGCTTCACCTGCATGTCTACTGTTTTAGGAATCTCTTGTCAAACTTTTCTCCCTCAAAAAGGCAACTCGATAAATTCAACCCAAATTCACATAAAATTTTTACATTGTAATTGTACATCCTTAAACTGCTATTAATATTTCTTATTTTCCTGAAGTCATATCGGGCAATTTATGAAAAATAATTTATGTTTTAATGAACTTCTATCAATTTGTAAGTGTGATCTGGACTATACCTTTTTATATTTTCCTTTTGAGCAGCTGATGCAAACAAACATCAGTTATACAAACTGGAGCAAAAGACCACTTCTGAAAATGCTGTTGTATCTGGACAGTTTGGAAACTATTACAAAGCTTATACATAGGCTGAATATAGAATACCACATTGCCTTCTTTTCTATCTAAATCTGGTTTTAAAGGTCTGATGGAAACTACACTAACAGTTCAATTTGACATTTTTTAAACTTTATAAAAAAAAAAAAAAGAAAAAGAAGACCATATTAATGCTTTGCCTTGATTAGAGTTTTGAAAATGTTTTATTTTATTGGGCTAGCTAATATGACCTTAAATTACATCTTTAAATCACAGTAAAGTTTATCAGATTCTTCCCTGGGCAAGAGCATCATCTTTTTAGATGATAAACTACTGAATTATTATTTAATCCAGAGCTGAATGTTTTCAGACACGGAATGTTCATGAAATAGAAAATTCTGTTAGAGCCACTCTATATTTAAAGTATTTTATATGGATGTCGAAAACCCTAGGAGATTTTAACCAATTATCTAAAATTAAAAAAGTCATTCTGCTCCCCATCTCTGTCTTCCAGCTCAGGGCCTGGGTACTCAGAGAACAACTGGTCTTACTATTAAAGACTGAATAATTACTTTGCTTATCGCTTTAAATGAGTTAATATGTGCTTAATTACACGCATGTCATCCCTGAAATGCTCAGATTTTTTCCTGAACAAACTGGACAAACATTTTCCTCAAAGATAACTAGTTACGACATTTAAAATTAATTACTCCAGATGGTGCTTTGCATTACCTTTAATTCCAGCAAGATTCTAATCCCTCTCACCAGACTGAACGATATGTATCATTTTCCATTCCAGTAGAGAATTTTCTGGTATGTTGAATAAGATTTTCATGCAACAAACTGCTTCACGTTTGCCTGTACAGTTGTTCCCTAACAGTAAAGTACCACTGAGTTGTGCACTATGAAACCTTTTCTGTCGGATTTTCCTTTATGGCAAGTATTCATTACCTGTGCTCTTTACACATTAAGGTTTGCTTCTACTGACAGTGGAAGAACTCCAACCGGCCACCTAATACTTCATGGTAACAACTAGAAAGATCACAAATTTCCCTGGATAGTCTGTTTCAGCAAACCAGATGCATTGGCATTCTCTAGGCCTAGAGAAACAGGAAAACTTTTTTAATCCCTTGGTCACAAAAACCAGTGCTTTTAGCCGAGATTTAATTTATCTTTGACTGCTCTAAGGTGTGGGCCCATCTACACAGTGAAGAAATGTAATGCAATACCAGTTTACTTCTGGATTTCCATATATAAATTTGTCTTTTACCAAATGTATTAAATGCGTATCAGTATTTGTGGGTAAAATTACAAAAAAAAAAAAAACCATCTAAGTTTCTAATATGATCTCAATATTCAGTATTGCTGCCAGCTTTCTTTGAACATGTATTACTTAAAAGCAGATGATGCAAAACCATTTAAAAGTTGAGTTGTTATGCTGATCAGATGTTTAGACAGACTAAATGTTTCATCCTACTGTATACTTAAATCATTCCTTTGTGAGACTAAGAGTTGATGAAAGACAGCTTTCCATGGAAAAGCTGTAGAGGTTCTTGTATTTCTCTGTGGAATGCACACTAGAGTAAATGATGCCTGAATGTGTATATCATTATGTGTGAGCACAGATGGGGGCCTCAGCAATTGGATTTTCCCTTTCAATATACAAAGGGAAGCTCCCTTCTCCCTGTAACGACCCACAGAGGTCTCTTGTAGGGCCTGTAGGTTATGAAGCTGAAAGATGAGCTGTTTTACATTTTAAGGCTGTTTTATTTCCTATAACACTTCTGTTATAGGAAACTAATAAAGATGATGACACATTGACCTTTTTTATCCCCTTCAGACAGCACTGTGAAAAATGTCCTCATAGCCATTTTTAGGCTGAAATGTCCATTTTTAGGCTGAGGCTTGGCTGAAGCTTTTTTCATTCCAGAAAAACATGACTGCCTTGTAAGAGTAAGAGATGTTGAAAGCACAGACTAAGTACCGTTAACACAAACATATCAGGGCTCCTATGTGGCCAACAGATTGAGAGACAAACATCATAAACCCTTCAGAGGAATCAGAAATTAAGCAGTTGTGTGGAAGGGGCTGGGAGGGTACATGACACATGCAGGAGTCAATTTACTTTAATTGAGATTTTTCCACTGTGCCTGTATTTTAAACACAGTTTCTGTATTTCTCTTTGTGGGTTTTGATTTTTTGTTTCAGTTACTATCACCTGGGAAGTATCTGTGTTACTCTTTTTATGTTCTTCATAATATCGCTCTTTGTTGCAATTGGCCTACATTTCTTCTATTATGCTTTAGTAAACATTAAATAATTGTCCAGAAGGCTGAGTACATATACATTTGATTTGTGATTTGATACCTAACATGAGAATCAAGGGGAACAGACTGCTGACTGTAGCTTGCATACCTCTTTCTGTCAGCGGGATCTGACAGACAATTTAATGAAAGTATTCAGACTTTCAAAGTCAATTCAAAGTTTGACATGGCAACTGAACAATGAAACATCGCCTACAAATCAGTTTGGGCACATTAACGGAATACAGAAAAGATGGGAACTGACAAAAGAACTTGATGTTCCTCCAGTAGTTTTTCATTATTATGCTGGAAAGCCAAAGACAACACAGTCGGACTATGAATGGAAAGATAACTTATATGGACCCTCCATCATAATTCAAGCAGTAGTTTCATAACACAGATGAGTTGTTCCCTAAGCCTTTTGCAGCCCAGTCTCACACAAGAACATGGGGACGATCTCTGCTTCACCAAGCTGATCTGCAAAACCCCACTGCATTTTTTTTATTCAAGTCCTGCTTCTTGACCCATCGCTCTGGGACGAGCAGCACCTCTTCCTTCCACCTTTTGACTGCAGCTG